AAAAATAATAATAATCGGCAAATATAAACACAAAACACAATTACAATCCACTAATTAATAAAAATAAAATCTAAAGTTAGAAAAAAATGCAACAATAAAAAATAATACCCAAACTTAAAAAAAAAAATATCAAGTAAAAAAAATACAAAATACAAAATAAAAATAAAATAATCCAGAATTTCGCAAAAAAAGATTAAAATATAATAAAATTTCAACCTCAAGGTGTATGGCGACCTATGGGGCCCAGGCAGAATAACCTCGAATGACCACGATAGGATAGCATGGATAAGGATAATATCATGCTAGGTTTGTAGAATTCCTCTTTTACCCTCTAGGAAGAATATGGAAGCAAGGATTATATTCATGGATAAAGCAACAGCCTCTAGGATAAATAAGGAAGCAAGGATAAGTAAGGATAAAACAACAGCCTCTAGGATAAATAAAGAAGCAAGGATAAGTAAGGATAAAGCAACAGCCTCTAGGATAAAAAAGAATGCTAGGATTAAATTGAGGAAGCGTAGGAGATCTGCTTTAGCCCTAATTAAGGATGGAAGGATTAGGTATACGAATTAGACTCTAGGAAAGAACAAAGGAAGAAATATGTGAAGTGGGAAGAACAAGGAAGAAATATGTGAAGTAGGAAGAACAAGGGAGAAATATGTGAAGTAGGAAGAACAAGGAAGAAATATGTGAAGTAGGAAGAACAAAGGAAGAAATATGTAGTAGGAAGAACAAGGGAGAAATATGTGAAGTAGGAAGAACAAGGAAGAAATATGTGAGTAGGAAGAACAAGGAGAAATATGTGAAGCAGGAAGAACAAGGAAGAAATATGTGAAGTAGGAAGAACAAGGGAGAAATATGTAAAGTAGGAAGAACAAGGAAGAAATATGTGAAGTAGGAAGAACAAGGGAGAAAAATATGTGAAGTAGGAAGAACAAAGGAAGAAATATGTGAAGTAGGGAAGAACAAAGGAAGAAATATGTGAAGTAGGAAGAACAAGGGAGAAATATGTGAAGTAGGAAGAACAAGGAAGAAATATGTGAAGTAGGAAGAACAAGGAAGAAATATGTGAAGTAGGAAGAACAAGGAAGAAATATGTAAGTAGGAAGAACAAGGAAGAAATATGTGAAGTAGGAAGAACAAGGAAGAAATATATGAGTAGGAAGAACAAGGGAGAAATATGTAGTGGGAAGAACAAAGGAGAAATATGTGAAGTAGGAAGAACAAGGAAGAAATATGTGAAGTAGGAAGAACAAAGGAAGAAATATTGAAATGGGAAGAACAAGGGAGAAATATGTGAAGTAGGAAGAACAAGGAAGAAATATGTGATGAAGAACAAGAGAAATAGGAAAAAAAAATATGAAGTGGAAGAACAAGGGAGAAATATGTAGTAGGAAGAACAAGGAGAAATATGTGAAGTGGGAAGAACAAGGAGAAATGTGTGAAGTAGGAAGAACAAGGAAAGAAATATGTGAAGTAGGAAGAACAAGGAGAAATATGTGAAGTAGGAAGAACAAGGAAGAAATATGTGAAGTGGGAAGAACAAGGAGAAATATGTGATGGAAGAAAAGGAAGAAATATGTGAAGTAGGAAGAACAAGGAAGAAGAAATAGTAGGAAGAACAAGGAAGAAATATGAAGTAGGAAGAACAAGGAAGAAATATGTGAAGTAGGAAGAACAAGGAGAAATGTGGAAGAACAAGGAGAAAATGTAAGGAGAACAAAAAATGTGATGGGAAGAACAAGGAAGAAATATGTGAAGTAGGAAGAACAAGGAAGAAATATTTGAAGTAGGAAGAACAAGGAAGACAATATGTGAAGTAGGAAGAACAAGGAAGAATAATGTGTGAAGTAGGGAGAACAAGGAAGTATAATGTGAGAAACAGGAAGAACAAGGAAGGAATATGTGAAGTAGGAAGAACAAGGAAGTATAATGTGAGAAACAGGAAGAACAAGGAAGTATAATGTGAGAAACAGGAAGAACAAGGAAGGAATATGTGAAGTAGGAAGAACAAGGAAGAATAATGTGTGAAGTAGGGAGAACAAGGAAGAAATATGTGAAGTAGTAAGAACAAGGAAGAATAATGTGTGAAGTAGGAAGAACAAGGAAGACAATATGTGAAGTAGGAAGAACAAGGAAGAAATATGTGAAGTAGGAAGAACAAGGAAGTATAATGTGAGAAACAGGAAGAACAAGGAAGTATAATGTGAGAAACAGGAAGAACAAGGAAGGAATATGTGAAGTAGGAAGAACAAGGAAGTATAATGTGAGAAACAGGAAGAACAAGGAAGGAATATGTGAAGTAGGAAGAACAAGGAAGAATAATGTGTGAAGTAGGGAGAACAAGGAAGAAATATGTGAAGTAGGAAGAACAAGGAAGAAATATGTGAAGTAGGAAGAACAAGGAATAATGTGTGAAATAGGAAGAACAAGGAAGAATAATGTGTGAAATAGGAAGAACAATGAAGGAATACGTAAAGTAGGAAGAACAAGAAAGTATGTGTGAAATAGGAAGAACAAGGAAGAATAATGTGTGAAATAGGAAGAAGGAAGAAATATGTGAAGTAGGAAGAACAAGGAAGGAATTTATGTAAATTAGGAAGAACAAGGAAGACAATAAGTATGAAAAAGGAAAAAAAAAGAAAAATATGCAAGAAGGAAGAAGAAAGAACAAGGAAGATAATAAGGAAGAAAAGGAAGGAAACTTCACAGTAACATCAACACTTCATAAAACATCTCAAAGGTTCTACTAAACAGCTTTAATTAACCAGGTAAATGAGTTGTAAATAAGGTAAATGAGTTGTAAATAAGGTAAATGAGTTGTAAATAAAGTGAATGAGATGTAAATAAGGTAAATGAGATGTAAATAAGGTAAATGAGTTGTAAATAAGGTAAATGAGTTGTAAATAAGGTAAATGAGTTGTAAATAAGGTAAATGAGTTGTAACTAAGGTAAATGAGTTGTAAATAAGGTAAATGAGTTGTAAATAAGGTAAATGAGTTGTAAATAAGGTAAATGAGTTGTAAATAAGGTAAATGAGTTGTAACTAAGGTAAATGAGTTGTAAATAAGGTAAATGAGTTGTAAATAAAGTGAATGAGATGTAAATAAGGTAAATGAGTTGTAAATAAGGTAAATGAGTTGTAAATAAGGTAAATGAGTTGTAAATAAGGTAAATGAGTTGTAAATAAGGTAAATGAGTTGTAACTAAGGTAAATGAGTTGTAAATAAGGTAAATGAGTTGTAAAATAGTAAAATGAGCGTAACTAAGGTAAATGTGAGTTGTAAATAAGGTAAAATGAGTTGTAAATAAGGTAAATGAGTTGTAAATAAGGTAAATGAGTTGTAAATAAGGTAAATGAGTTGTAAATAAGGTAAATGAGTTGTAAATAAGGTAAATGAGTTGTAACTAAGGTAAATGAGTTGTAAATAAGGTAAATGAGTTGTAAATAAGGTAAATGAGTTGTAAATAAGGTAAATGAGTTGTAAATAAGGTAAATGAGTTGTAAATAATGTGAATGAGATGTAAATAAGTTGAATGAGATGTAAATAAGGTAAATGAGTTGTAAATAAGGTAAATGAGTTGTAAATAATGTGAATGAGATGTAAATAAGCTGAATGGGTTGTAAATAAGGTGAATGAGTTGTAATTGGGAAAACGAGTTGTAAATAAAGTGAATGAATTGTAAATAAAATTAACAAGTTGTAAATAAGGCGAATGATTTGTAAATAAGGAAAATGAGTTATAAAAAGGCAAATGAGTTGTAAATAAGGCAAATGTGTTGTAAATAAGGTGAATGAGTTGAAAATAAAACAAATGAGCTGTAAATAAGACAAATATGATGTAAATACGGCGAATGAGTTGTAAATAGAGTGAATGAGTTGTAATTTGGAGAATGAGTTGTAAATAAGTTGTAATGAGTTCGGTAAATGACTTGTAAATAGACATTTACCATTACAGTACCACAACACTGAACAATACACTACAGCAGAACAGAACAAGAACAGGAGGATGCAGTTCACAAGTGTTCTACAAAACCCTCGTGTGCATGAACAGATACATGGGGGGGAGAAGAGGAGAAGATAGGGAGGGGGGAAGAAGGGAGGGGGAAGGCAAGGAGGAGAAGAGAGGAGAGGAAAAGAGAGAAGAAGGAGAGGGTAGAGGAGAAGAGGGAAGAGGAAGGGAGAAGAAGGGGAGAGGAGGGGAAGGAGAGGAAAGGGAAGAGGAGAGATGAGGGAAGGGGAGAGGAGAGGAGAGGAGAGGAAGGGAAGATTAAGAAGAACCAATTAAAGGAAAGTTATGTTTACCAGCCTCTTAGAAAATGGGAGAGAGGTAGGATGGTTTGTTGCCTGTGAGATGGAAGGAAGGAAGGAAGGAAGGATAGAAGGAAGAAAGGAAGGAAGGAAGGAAGGAGGGAAGGGAAGAAGGGAGGAAGGAAATATAAAGCCTGTAGGAATAAGAATGGAAAGGAAGGACGTTGGGATGGTTCACAGCCTGTAAGAAGGAGGGAAAGAAGGAAGGAAGGAAGTGTGGTCTAAAGCCTGTAAGAAGGAGGGAAGGAATGTTCTAGGGTTTGCAGTTTATAAGGAAGGAAGGAAGGAAGGGTAGTCTGAAAGCTGTTAGAAAAAGGAAAGAAATAAAGCTGGAAGGTTGGAAGGTTTACAGCCTGTAAGAAGGAAGGAAGAAAGAAAGGATGATTAACTACATGCAGGATGAAGGAAGACTGGCAGGATACTCGCTAAAGATTGTAGGAAGGACAAATAAAGAGTGAAGAATATTGCAGTAGACATCCTCCTTGAGAGAGAGAGAGAGAGAGAGAGAGAGAGAGAGAGAGATGAAACCGAGACTAATGGAAAGGAAAGAGACTACGATGATGAAAGATAAGAAGATGAAGGACGTGAAGAATGAGAGAGAGAGAGAGAGAGAGAGAGAGAGAGAGAGAGAGAGTATGTGTGTGTGTGTGTGCGGGGAGGAGGTGATGACGTACCTCTGGGGGTGGGGGGGATTGGGGTCCACCAGGGGAGGGGGCCCAGCAGGGGGTCCAGTGCCAGGCGCCTGTGGAAATAATCATATGATAGAACGTCGAAAAAAATCATGGTTAATGTCTTACAAAATCATGGTTTATGTCTTACAAGATCATGGTTAAAGCCTCATAAAATCATGGTTAAAGTTTCACAAAATAGTGGTTAAAGCCTCAAAAAAATCATGGTTAAAGTTTCACAAAATCATGGTTAACATCTTACAAAATCATGGTTAATGTCTTACAAAATCATGGTTAATGTCTTACAAGATCATGGTTAAAGCCTCATAAAATCATGGTTAAAGTTTCACAAAATAGTGGTTAAAGCCTCAAAAAATCATGGTTAAAGTCACACAAAATCATGGTTAACATCTTACAAAATCCTGGTTAAAGCTTTACAAAATCATGGTTAAGGTTTCAAATACTCAAAATTATAGGTGTTAAATCGTGGTTAAAAGTCACAGAATATCAATGATTAAAGTCAGGACAAAAAACTCTCTAAATCCTGCTAGTCTAAAAAGTCACACAATAAGTCTATGACAGGTTATAATGTCCTATCATGTTAACCTAACAGTATCATGAAATTATGGTAGCGTTACAGTATTCTCATGTCAGTCTGATAATTTAGGCAGTTTCAATATCATGGTGGTCTAACAGTATCATGGCAGTTCAGTGTCATGGTAGTCTCAATATCATGGTGTTATCACAAAATAATGATAATGTTTCAATATCATGATAAGTGTGTGATGGTATCATGGTAGTTCTGATAATCATGGCAGTGTTATCATATCATGGTAGTGTAATGTGATAGTGCACTCAAATAATTCCTGCACACACTCATGATATCCCAGTACACACTCACTATATCCCAGTACACACTTATCATATCCCAGTACACACTTATCATATCCCAGTACACACTTATCATATCCCAGTACACACTTATCATATCCCAGTACACTCATTATAACCCAGTACACTCATTATATCCCAGTACACTCAATGCCCCTGTACACTCATAATGTCCCAGTACACTCACAATATCTCAGTACACACACAATATCCTACTACACACTCACTATATCCCAGTACACTCTCATATCCCAGTACACACTTATCATATCCCAGTACACACTTATCATATCCCAGTACACACTTATCATATCCCAGTACACACTTATCATATCCCAGTACACACTTATCATATCCCAGTACACACTTATCATATCCCAGTACACTCACGCCCCAGTACACTCTCATATCCCAGTACACACTTATCATATCCCAGTACACACTTATCATATCCCAGTACACACTTATCATATCCCAGTACACCAATGCCCCAGTACACTCTCATATCCCAGTACACACTTATCATATCCCAGTACACACTTATCATATCCCAGTACACACTTATCATATCCCAGTACACACTTATCATATCCCAGTACACACTTATCATATCCCAGTACACACTTATCATATCCCAGTACACACTTATCATATCCCAGTACACACTTATCATATCCCAGTACACACTCATTATATCCCAGTACACTCAATGCCCCAGTACACACTTATATCCCGGTACACACTCATCATATCCCGGTACACACTCATCATATCCCAGTACCCACTCATCATATCCCAGTACACCCGCACCTAAATACACCAACATAATTATTATTCATTATAACAAATACATTAAACATATACATTTAGTTTACGAAGGAAAACCCGTTGGCTGGGATAAATACTTTAAAATTCTGCAAAAGAACAGAAACTACTCATACATAATGCAATTTATTCTGAAAGAAGAAATTATTACTGTATATGGTATATCAGATTGAGTACAGCTGTTTAAATACAATATACATACAATACAAATAACAATAAATACAATAGTAAAACTGTATTATGGCAAAAATCCTACACACATAAATGTTTTTATTATTATTATTGTTATTTTACAAAGAAGAAAAAAATCACCAAATGTCCGTCAGACCTGAAAGATAATTATAATGTAGTTTGATTCACAGTGGAATTATTTAACAAAAGAAAATATATTCCCGTAATTAATAAGAGCATTGTAACATACATTTCTATTCAGTAAATATGCAGGGGGGGGGATGGGGGGAGGGGAGGGGGAGGGGGGGGAGAAAATTCGCAACACGACATCGACAGACAAAAACAAACACTCCATCAACTGTCTCGTCGAACTGTTACGGACGTATTTCCCACCTGTTTCTCACTCAAAAATGGCCGATTCTGGACATGACAATAAACATTTACCCAGCGATAGTCCTCGATAATCAACCAGCAATACAGATTTAGGGATTATAGGAGTGTGAAATCCGTATAAAATCTGTGAAAGTGAAGACGTGTTTCCCGGGAGGCGGCAGCACCGTCAACAGAGAGGACTGCCAGACACCGCCATCTCCAAGCCGAACCCGCCACACCGCTATTCCGAAAACAGTAAAAACAAACATTAAGCCAGCGGATGGTCGTACCGGAGCTGTGAAAACTTTGCAATATCCGGTTTCGTATACCCATTAACAAGCTCTTTAAACTTTGTCGGAAGGGGTGTGTAGACCAGCCCTGAATAGCCGCCATTGTTCTCCCATGTAACTCATACACTAGTATAGGTAGTGTGGCTCACACTACTGTAGGTGGTGTGGTTCATACACTAGTATAGGTGGTGTGGCTCACACTACTGTAGGTGGTGTGGCTCACACTACTGTAGGTGGTGTGGTTCATACACTAGAGTAGGTGGTGTGGCTCACACTACTGTAGGTGGTGTGGTTCATACACTAGAGTAGGTGGTGTGGCTTACACACTACTGTAGGTGGTAAGGCTAAAACACTACTGTAGGTGGTAAGGCTAAAACACTACTGTAGGTAGTTTAGGTAACGTGGTTCATACACTGGTGTGTACTGAGGCAGAACACCTGCTTTAAGCCTCCTGTCCGCTTTACTTTAAAGCTAAGACTTGGCGTGTCATCCACCGTCTGGCTGGCTGGGTCAGGGTGTCTCACTATCACCCATATACACACAGGATTCTTAAAGATACCCACGTTAAATAGTTTCTTTTAAGTGAGAATACGAGAATGATTCTTAGTTATGGTAGAGTTATTGTGTAATATGTTTCTCACATTAGTTCAGTAAGTAAAGTCAGTCATTCAGATATAGTGTTATACTTTCCACGAATCTTTGAAAATCCAGGTCTTCGTGTCGTAATATAAGCCCTGGTGCGTCGCGGGAGCTTTGAGTTACATACGTGCAGCAGTTTGTAATTCGTAACCGCAATCTACCTCCCCAGTAAAATATAAGTTGGTTCCATAGGTGTGACGGCTAATTAGAGGCAGTTTAGACAACATACTGAACACTAAGCCTCGGTATATAAGGGGTCAGCGTGGCCCAACGTAGCACTCTACCACCTTTCACTTCCACTATTGTTAAGTTAGGACCCATACTGCGGACGGATTGACTGAGGTCGCCGAATTAATCAGCTGGCAGTGGGATTTACGCTCTGTGGACTAAGAGGCGAACCAATGAAGTGTGAAAATTTAAATTCTTGTGAGTTATCTGGAGTCCTGAAAGTATGATAGTTCAAATCTCAATTCTTGTGAACGGCATCTTAAGCTCCTAATGTACTGTAATTTGAACTTCCTGTAAACGATACATGAGGTTCTAGTGTAAGATGATCTGAACTTCCCGTTTTCCATGACAAGTTCCAAGATGTACACTGATTTGAACTTCTTGTGTACGATGATAACCTACTTTTAATATGTGATGAAAGTACAGGAAGCTTACGACCGACGACTTGGTGTACTTGAGTTCCTGATATACAATAACTTGAATTCCTTGTGTTCGTTAACTTGAGACGCTAATGTAAGATGCTTTACCTCCTCGTGTATGATAATTTGGCCTTCATAAACAGGATGACTATCTCTTAAGTACGATAAACTATTCTCTACACGACCATGAAGTAAAGAGCTTGTTGTCTCTAGAACGACTCCTCATTATTTATGTACACCTGCAGCTACAGGAAGAGCTAATAAAAACGTGAGCTTCCACTACACTGATGTCAAAATATGAAGTTTTACAACGTTGTACATTAAACGAAATTTCAGTCTAAATTTCTTAATAACTATATCTTAAAGAAGGCTATACAATAAATAACTCAGGCTACAAGAGCACTTTGTAATTATTGTACTTGTTAACGAAAGGTCTAAGTTTACTTTACTTATTAACGAAATAAATTAATTTAAATATTAAGCACCCGTAGTAGAACCACGAACACAACTCAGCGAACACACCATAAACATAAACAAACACAACTCAGCGAACACACCATAAACATCAACAAACACAGCATCGAGTCCACCGCAACAACCACAGGAACGTTTATCATAAAGTAAAAGGCTTCGCCACAGCATCCTTACCACAGTATCACTGCTAACCACATTAGCACACAATCCAACACTGTCATCATCTTTCCTGGTGACGTCACCTTTGTTTATCAACCATCGCGCCATTCATCAGAATCTTCATCAAACCCCAGAACCAGGGCAGGGGATACACCTCGACGTAACACAAACACAACCCACACTCATCCATAGGAGCGAAAACCCCTCGAATTGGTAAGGTAGGTAGCGGCCTTATCGTCACAGGGAAGGGGGTGAGTTTTTCCCGTGGGTGTGGTTAATCAGGGGACAATACGTAATGTTTGTGGAGTGGTGGAGGGAGTGTGTGTGTAGCGGCCGCCCCTGTCACGGTCATCACGTATTCATCTCTTCTCTCTCACACAACATTATGATATGGAAATGGCCGTGTCCCCGCCTCTCTCTCTCTCTCACGGCCACACGATCAACTCGCCCTCTCTCTTTCATCCATTTCCTGTGTCCTGTCATACGCCAATATACTGTATAAATATCAACCCTTTCAAGGTTTATTAACCAATGACAATATCATATTACAAACCTCAAAAAAATTGACAGCCAATTAACGCTTCAATCTAATCAGCATCATAATTA